AAGAGTTAATTTATTTAATTTTTATTTATTGAAAATGGTTGATTCACAACCCTTTTGATTTTCTTTTTCATTTATACTTTTTCAATTTATAAATTTATTATTTAAATGATTTTTCCATATTAATTAGTGGCCATTTTTTCTTTTTATCTATTATTAATAAGAGTTAAAAACTTTAATTTTTATTTTTTGAAAATGGTTGATTCACAGCAGTTTTTTATTTTATTTTATTATTATTTATTATTTTTATAAAAAAAATTTATTTAAATATTTTACACATATTTTTGAAATTAAATTAAATTAAATTATTATTATTATTATTGTAATTAAAAAAATCAAAATTTAATGGTGGCTTCTATAAGTTTACACATATTTTTGAAATTCAGTTATTATTATTATTATTAGTAATAATAATGTCTGATTAAAAGGATTTTAAAATTTAGTGAATTATTACCCACTTTTCCATCGGCAATACAATAAAAAATATGATAATAAGTTCTTTAAAAAAATTTGATTTTTAAAAAACTGTTTTAAATTGTTATTTTGTTTTAAAATGGAATTTATTATTTAAATTAACTAAAAACAATTAAGTTATTGAATTTGAATTTATTATTTAAAATAACTAAAAATAATAAAATTCAAGAATAATTGTGGTGCTGACACGTGTCGTTTTTTCCTCTCCTTTTATATATAGATAGATTCGTCACAATTCTATAAATTATGTATTCAATCATAATATATAGAATTGTGCCGAATACATTATATACCTATTTAAATTACTACAAACTAAAAAAGAAATACAATATTTTAAAATAAAAATACAAATGATGAGTAAAAGAAAAACAATTGACAAACAAAAATTAATATGAATACAATTGTGGTATGAATACAATTTTGTAACCTTCTTATTTGACTTTGTCTTTCTTCTTCTTCTTCATCTACTATGTTCTTTTTTCCGATTAGTTTCCATCAAAACTGAATCTGAATTCGTATTCACTTGTGCATTAGTAACCCTATAAGCAAAATTCGAAATTATTAAATATGAATGTATAAAAAAATCAAACAATATATGATGTATGTGTGCTAATGTAGTTACTACAATCTACTAAATATCAAATATGAAAACAAAATTTTTGATAATTTGAATTTCGAAATTATCAAAAATTAGAATGTATTAAATATCAAACAAAATAAACATGCATATGAATTTCTAGATTCTCCAAAATCTGAAAAATTAAAAGAAAATCACAAAAAAAATTGAAAAAAATGAAAATCATAACTATTTGATGATTAACTAAACAAAATCACATAAAAATTGAAAAATTCGACTGGAAATCCGTAATATATAGAATCGGTGATTTAAACATCAAATCAAAGTAAATCAAAATGGATAATGGAAATTACCTTGCCAATCGAGAAATCTGCTTGAATTAATAAATAGATTTCATTTAACAATAAAGAAGATTTCTTGATGAACAACAATTTAGCACCTTGAAGAAAGATAAACTTGAAACGTGAAAGGTGGGGAAGAAACGTGAAAAGTGGGAAAGAAACGTGAATGGAGTTGAAAAAAGGTTAATGTGTATTGGTTTAATTTTTTTTCTTTAAACGGTTATTAATATATAATTTGGTCCAATATAGGACTCTTTCCATAAATAAAATTAATTTTAAATACTAAAAGTTGAATACATATTATTTTATAAAAATATTGCCATTCTGCCATTTTAAATAATTATTTTAAAGTATTGTTATTTTAACTAATTATGTTAGATATTATGACTTAATTGCTAATTTTCCCTATGATGTTTCAAGCTCATTTAAAACTAGTGTTTATAGGTTCAACCCATATATGCCCTTAGCCCTTGAGGCTTGATCGGGGCCGGGTCGGGGTCGGCCCATGGGCGAAAACTATTTAATTAAGGGCAACTTACAACAATCTCACTAGTATATGAGCTAATTATTTAAATGTGTTGTAATATTATGAATCTTACCAGATTTTAGTACATCTAGATACATGTATCTCATGATACATGGACTCAAAGTTAGGTTAATTTGTTTTAGTTACAATCTACCCAAGTGGATTCACATGTATCTAAGATACATAGACAAATCTTGCGCTCTTGTCTCCCTCCCATCTCGCTTGCCACTCTCTTATCTCGCTCGCATATCTGGGATGCATCACACTAGATACATGTATTCGCATATCTAGTATCGTTGATACATCTTAATTAAACTAGATTTTTTGTTAGTGTTATTGAAACAACACCATTGTTTGTCATATTTGATTTGAAAATCTTCTCATTTTCTTGATGTTATAAATTTTAAGTTTGGAAAGAAAAAAAAAAGGGCTAGCCCGCCCCAACCCTCAGCCCTTCTAGGGTTAGGTTGGGTTGAGCATTTTCAAGCCCTTCCAAATGATGGGATGACCCGCCCTAACCCTTCAAATTAATTGGCCCGCAAATCTTGGACCAGGTGGGGCTGGACTGACCCTTTTTGACAACTCTAATCTTAATATATAATTGATTTAATGTCTAAGATGTATAAATATTTAATGAATTTTGTATCATATAATCGATCCACCACCTCTACTTGACAATATAGCTAATTTAAATGTTTCTTACGTGCAATATATGGTATAGACTGCTATAATAGTTTGATACCCACAATTAGAATTTGCATAGTAATATAAAAGAAATTTTAATGATTCTTACCAAACTTGCAAAGAAAATTTTTGGGGTGTAGCTTTCAATTTCTTCTTCTAAATTAATTCTCGTGTTGAAATAGACGTCATTTGAAAAAGATCTAACAATATCAATCAGATTTTGTTAATGAAAATTCAATCATGAAATTGTTGCATTAATATGTTATTTCTTTAACTTATGTATTACTCACTAATTTTATTTTGTACCAACTACCAAAGTTCAAATCCGTTAAATAAAGTATAATATCTTTCTATATTTATAGGCTATTTGACTTAAAAAATTTTATTTTATGTTGAATGATATGTTTTTATAGCCATATTAATTTATATTTAAAATTACAAATTCAAAAATAATCATTTATTTTATTGGGCGTCTAATTAAACTATTGGAACTGGTATATATACTAGTAGGCCAATATTAATTTGGCATAGGGATATGGCCATCACTGATTAGAATTTAGAGAATCACAAATTAGATGACGAATTAGCGATGGATAAATTTTGTATCTAAATAACAAAAAAATTATGCCAATCTTGTTATAAATTGGCGATGGATTGTAAGCAAGTTCAATTAACTAGGAGCGCTTTAACGATGGATTAGCTTGGAATTGTCGGTACATTCCTTGGCTAATTTCACGTTTTTTTGTAGTATGGTTTCCTTGAGAAGGGTGTGGTACCAACATGCTTCTATCAGGCTCCACAAAGATGTATCCCTCCCGATCACTTGGTTTGTGCACATCGATTTTTTCATGAGGTAATTGGCCATCTATCCTAGGTCTATGAAATTTATGTATCACTAAAATTACAAAAGAAATATTCGATAATATATGATGGGTTCTACTAATAACTTTAAAGAGTTGAACCCATATAATCTAAATATTGAATCCATCTGGAATATGCTATCCACAAAGAAGGAACTTGTGTACAAATTAATTAGTGTACATTCATTTGAACCCCCTTCATTAAAAGATTACATTATAGATAGGCCTAACCCATTGGTGGCCCCTTAAAGTTGACATCAAGTTTTACTTAGACACCTTAACTGAGTTTTTTTCATTATAGACACCTTATGTAGGGTTCCGTTGTGTCATTTTGACATTTTTTTAACAATCATCCAAAAATACAAAGTGTGTGTAATGCACGTGCCGATGACGTGTCAAAGTGACGAATTAAACAAAGACACATGTCATATATGTAAAAATAATTCTAAACTAATGACTTTTAAGTAAAAAGAAATTCATCACTTCTAATTTTCAAGAAACTCACCCTTGTCTTCTTCATCCAACCAACCCAGGTGTCTTCTCCACTCCACCCATCCCAACCCCAACCGCTCCTCCACCCCCACTAGATCGTCCATCCTCTTTACCCCCACCCGCCCCAACCTCAACCTCTTTTTCACTCTATCGTCTTTTCAAGAAACACTTTCAAAAGAATTTAATTACATTGAAAAATTAATTTATAAAAGAAATTTTTTCTCTCTTCTTTACTTCTAAAAAATCAGTTATAACTAACAATGGATTTTTTTTATTTTTTTTGCATTTCTCTTATGTGCAGAGGATTCAAATATGTGAACAAGAAATAGAGTAATTATTTCGTGGCGTTGAAATTTAATTGTTGGATCTGAAGAAACAAAATGAGAAGAAGATGATGGTTGTGGTGATTTTCATATCTCAAAAATTAAAAACTACTTCGATTTTAATAAGATTAGTGGCGATGATGCAGCGGCGGTAGGTTGATGGTGTGTGGTGGATGAGATAATCACAAATAAAGAGTGAAGAAGATGAACAGTGTTTTAAAAATAATTTTTTGGCCTGAAAAAAACTTTTTATGCGCTGACTTTGAGTGTATTACACTCACCATGTCATATCAACGAAAAGTGTCAAAATGACACAACGAGATCCTACATGAGGGGTTTAAAATGAACATCGCCCAGTTGAGGTGTCTAAGTGAAACTTCATTCCAACTTTAGGGGGCCACCGATGGATTATGCCTTATATATATGATGTTTAAATTATTTTTTATGTACATATATATGATATAGATATTGAATTCTTCAACTTTTTCGTGTGTTACTTCTTCTTTTGTTTTTCTTCATATTTTGAATTCATGCAATAGAAATTTGGCGTTTCATAACAATATTAAAGAATTTGCTTAACTAGGGAACTAGAATATGCGATCACATGTTGTGACTAAAAGAATAACTATCTTGAATGAATAAATTAACCAATTACACGAGGTATGTATAATATGTAAATATGATACAAAAGACTAAACTATCCTTCTAGCTATACATATATATTTATCATTCCCCCTCAAGCAATGCTGGGTCTCGATAAATGTTGAGCTTGTCACGCAAGAATGAAAATTGAGCATAGGGAATAGACTTCATCAGTAAATCTGCAAGTTGATCCACACTTGGCACATAGCGAACTTGTAGAACACTAGAAGCAACCTACTCACGAACAAAATGAATGTCAATCTCAATGTGTATAGTGCGAGCATGATGAACATGATTGTGAGCTAAGTATATACTACTGATGATATCACTGTAGATCGTTGAAAGAGAGGATAGCTAAATATGTAGATCACCAAGAAGAGAAAGCAACCCAGATATCTCAGCAGTACCATGGGCAACAAAACAATATTCTGCCTTAGCACTCGAGCGCGATACTACACTTTGCTTCTTAGAAGACCAAGAAATTATTACCAAGAAAGATACAATACGCTGAGGTAGATCTGCGGGTGGTAGGACAACCTACCCAATCTGCATCAGTATAACATGTTAATGAACCAATTGAGCCGTCTAGAATGAATAGACCATGATTTATGGAACCACACATGTAGCATAGAATACGTTTCACTGCAGTAAAATGAATGTCCAAGGGAGAATGCATGAACTGAGCAACCTGACTAACAGAGAAGGCAATATCGGGTCGAGTAAAAGTTAAATATTGAAGTCCACCAATAAGACTATGATATAATGATGGATCATAAAATGGAGGAGATGTATCAGAAGCAATAAGAGATTTCGAAGAAAGAAGAGTATTAATTGGTTTAGATGAGAAAAGACCTGTCCGATTAAGAAGATCATGAATGTATTTGGATTGGTTAAGAAAATAACCACCTTTACATGCGGAGATAGAGATTCCAAGAAAAAAATTGACTAAACCGAGATCTTTCATGGAAAATTCGGACATAATAATCTTGATTGTAGACTTCAGTAAAGAACTTGTCACGACTGATTTCACGTATCAGGACTCTTCATCCAATACTAAGTGGAAACGATCATGAGTAGTAATATAACCCAACTAAGTGAGTTGGGGTCGAGTCCCAAGGGAGTGGTTTGTACTCCAGAATCAATAGAAAAACATAAATATGCTCAAGTCAATCATAGCTAAAAACATTTACGAAGAAAAACATAGTTTAAATTATAGGTGACACAAGTGTCAAATATCAAGGGGGTTTGTTTGTACTAGCAACTAAAACAATGAATAACACAAAAATACGAATATGGAGACGAGATTCTTGGGATTTGATAGGATTATGGGTTAAGGTAAACAACCAGGTAATTGTAATTAATAGTAAACAATTGTAAATCGGTGAATAATCTAGACTTTAGTGGGGGTAAACTTTCTCTCGAACAATTTACCCCGAATCAAATTGGTTTCTCTTGAACATCAATAAGCAGCAATGAAGCACATCCTTCGGTTTAGTCCATTCGCTCTCTCGAGCTGAATGTGTGGAAAAGGGTTTAGGGTTCACTCTCTCTCGCTGAACCCATGACAACCCAATACCCACAGACCATCGATTCAGTAATTAAAACTTCTCTCTCTCGAGCAAGGCAAAAATACGAAGTTAAGATTATATTTGCAACTACAACCCATTAAATTCAACCACGATTACTGAACGAAATCACTTTTAAACAGCAAATAAACTATCAATTAACAATACCCATCAGTTAAATCAACCTATAATCACAAATCACACCCCGAGAATTGGGGTTTTAGCTAGACATAGTAAAAAGGTAAAAATCGTTACCAAGTTGTGTTTCCATCAACTGGGTACGATTGATATTGTCTTTACAAAGGTCTAAGATGAAGAATCTTCAACACCCACTTCGAATTTCTTAGAAATGGAAATCTTCAAATCTTCAAAGCTAAGGAAATATTATTTCTCTATTCAGTTATAAGCTCTCAACCTCAAAATCTAAAAAATAATATGATTCTACACAAAATCAGATACTAAGCTAAAAATTTAAACAAGTATTTATAGTTGTCAAAAAGTGTGCTGCGGAGGTTCAGTCGGCGCAGTAAGTCGGTGTCGCGCCTCGTTTTTCTCAAAATAGGTTTTGGTGAGACCTAACAACTTTTTTGGGCTTTTGAAAAATGAAGAATCGTCACCTAACGAATTAAGGCGCGTTAGGGCACCTATATAACCTAGCTAAATCTAGCTAAGGTCAACGAATCAGAGATCAGGGTAAGGGTTCAAATTACCTCGAGGGGAAGGTGTTAGGCATCCCTCGAGGTCCACAAATGTCAGTCCCGGCCGTATCTCATGCAATTTATGTGGAGGTTACAATTAGCAATTAAGGTCACTTCATTTATTGGTTTATTTAATTAGCATGATGACTAGGTGATTATTAACATTTAACAATTAAGATTAATTTGTTTATTTATTTTTTATTTATTAATCATACAAATCCAGGTGATAATATAATACTAAATAATTAACACAAATAAAATTTAAAAGAGATAGCTAGAAGATAGAAAGACAAATATATAAGCAAAATGTCATTTTTTATTTAATTAAACTACCCAAATAAATATAAGTATAAAACAAGTAAATGGAGACTTTGAGGGATTTTGTGGATCAACACTTGACTTTTCTTTAGTGTTTCAATAGGCTTCCGTGTAGGGACAGACAAAACCAAGGTTTGTCTCTTTAAGCCTGAGTCAATGTCATCATCTCCGTAGGGCCTAAACTACCCCTACCCCACCATTGCATGCTTTTAGTCTCTAAAAGGTGTCTAGCGTCCCCACGTAAGGTTCAAGAGGCATTGAACTGCTATTTGGGTGAATTTAGACAAAGATAAAATATAATAGACCCACCTAGACACCAAGTCAAACAATTTGGACGAGCATTTAGCACATCAGGTCTCATATTGGCCTCTAGATTTTAATTAACATGCTAGTAAACACAGATGGAGTGAAAAGGTCGCATGCTAAACGTGTGACATGCAAACAAATAAATATAATAATATAATTAATTTAGAGGACAAGAAATATTACAAGTCAGGAAAAGCATATTAGCATATTAGACTGATTTAATTAGTAATTAGCTTAAAATTAGGCACTTTATAATAATGCAAATGGGCAAAATATTTAAAAGCAGTAACAGATTATTAATGCTTAAATTTATTTTATTTACAGCAGCGTAGTAGTTGCAGAGTATAATCAATAGCCGATTTTAATTAGGAAAACAAGTAACAAATGCAGAAGATATGTTTTTTTTTAAATAGTAGCATATGGTATTATTAGTGCAAAAGAAACTAATTTAAGTGGCAGAAAACAGATAATTGTAGAAAAAATCTTTGAGCAAGCGATTAACTATTGATTTTAAAACAGTGATTATTACTATGCAGATTTTTAAAGAGGCGGGGAGATATTTAAGTGTTTAAAGATGCAAAAGTACTCATGCATGCAATTCAGAAATATGCACATAGATAATATTTAATATGACAAATTATTTAATTTCAATAGGCAAGATTTCTAGTTAATGAGCACGTTGGAGATTATTTAATTATTTAACATGCTGAAACTGATTAGATTATAATTCTAACAATCTGATTTATTCGAACTGATTAGCATTAGCTTACTCATTAGATCATATAGCCATAATTTCTAAGTGAACATTCTGAGAGAAATTTAAACCAACAAATTAACATACTACAATTTTATTAGCAAATAGTTAATCAATCCTATAGGCATAAATTCTAGATGATCTGGATTTTTATGATCTTATAGGCAAGAATTTCTGCATGAATATCATACACAATTAATAAATAAATAATAAAAAAAAAGATTAAATAGCAGCCTTTAGTTGTTAATAATTACCGAGATTAGCAACATCTAATCAATTACACTAAATGATCACATAAATCTGACAATCATTTTAAAACTTATCTAGTTAACAGGCCAAAGTTATTACATGTTTGATTAATGGGCCAGATTAATTAACATGTTAAAGATCTGTAGAATATTGAATAACAATAAGCTGTCATTTAAGCCTAATGCATGGTTTCTAGTTACAAGATTGATTCTCATATATTAAAATGCATTCTACATTTCAAGCGAAACAAATGTACAACATACTGATTTGAGCATATGTTTAAAGATGTTTATGGAAATTAGTCGGTTTATTATGCAGGAAGTCATTAATTGATATTTAAACAACTGATCCATTTAACGGAAAGATTTGCTATCAGTCCAATAATTAATGTCAAACAATAAGCCATTTTTTTTAGTTTTTAACATAATCAAGTCTACGGTAAGCAATCAATAAATATGAAGAAGCAATAGGCACAATCCTATAAGCATGTATTCCAACACAAACAGAGTGCGGTAAATAAACAATTAGCACATAATTCCCCTCCCCCTTAGACGATTCCCCTAGTTACTTCATATATGAGTTTGAGAGTTGTACAAATATTACAAACCGAAATAAATAATAGAATCAATACAACTATAATAAATAAACCTAAATTTTATCTGAAAACCCATCTCAGCCGACTCTTCAACACTTGAACTTCAATGTTCAAAACCCCAGCTAAACAAAAGAAAGCAATACAATACAAATATAATAGAAGGGGTACTTAACATTATTCATTTAAATGAAGATGGGCAAAAGGGCATAGTCGTATTAACTCATGCATCGAATTATTCAACTAAGCAGCAAATACTGAATATTACATCATGCACATACATCACATATAAAGGGGAGAAGAGAACTAACCCGAATGCTTCCTTATATTTATTAATACCCAATTTGGGACTCAAGATAGCTAAGATGATGCAGAACATGAATTAAACATGTATAAATGATACTAATCAATTATGCAGTACAAGAAATCAGCAATGAAGATCCACACTTAATCCCACAACTGACTCGAACACAGCAAAATAGCAAGTGTAGAAGAGCTTTTGTTTACCGGAAAACTTAATTCTTTTAAAGAGTAAGGAGCAATATATATATTTTAGTATTCATATATGAGCAATGTGAGAGCAATGTGTGTTAGAATAATGTGAGAATGTGTAGAGGTGTTCCACCGTGTCAATAATGAGAAGAGGGCCTTGTTTATATACTAGGTGAGGGGGCACAACACTAAAGGAAAGGAATAAATTAAGGGGACAAGTAAATTAATATCTTCCTAACTAAGAAAGCATGAAATCAGTTCTATATTTATTTTTCTTTATTTGTTTATTTTTTTGTACCAAATATAAAAACAAGTAAGAGATCTGCCCATTTTAATTGAGGTAAAGGAAATCAATTACTAATAATACACCATGTAAAACAAGTAAGGAAAGAGTAATTTTAGACGGTAAATTGATATACTCAAACAGATAAACATAATTATTTAAGGAAGGGGGGAATTACATTCAGATTTGTTCATATATTAAAATATTTTAACACAATCAAATAAATCACAAATTGATATGAAATATATATATATATATATATATGATAAGATCAAAATTAATCAGCAAGCGAATGGCACCGAATTAGCACATTGCATCAATTTAAGGTAACTTTAAGGAATATAATCAAAATTACCATATCTAGAACAATTCCATAGGCATCACTCAATTAGCTAATTATTGCATACAAAGGGAATAAAAGTTGGGGCAAATTTGCAGCATATTAATTAAGGAGGATAATCAATTTAGACAAATGGGTCAGCAATTCCAAATCAAGAACATACTAATTATAGCCTTCTACAGATTAGCAAGTTACAAACAAGACGATAATATAGATATAAGAACATTTAAACATCAACAAATTACAGGAAAACATGCTTAAGATCAATAAAATAACCAATTATAGTTCCTTCTACGATGAAATTCATAGCATCTCACATAAAGTAAATATGCATAGAAAATCTCTTCATGTAGAAATCAAGAGCATATCGAGGACCGACAAT